CTTAAGTACTATATGCAAAAAGGCTTATAAAGGTGGGAAATAAATTAAATACACTGATCAATTAAATACGTACATTTAAATTATCAATATATAGACCTTATATCGCTCTAGACACATGTCATTGCTGTAACAGCGCGGAAATAAGATTGAGCTCATGTAGGACGTACGTTACGTGATAACGTTAGCCGTACGTTTAATAAGTGTGGCATCTTGGCATCGCCTAAATTATTTTAGTATTAGCTGGCGGTAGAATATCTTGAATTTGGATAGAAAAATTAATCACAATGCATTCAAATGAAATGTACATGTCAACAATATATGTAACTACTCTAATTTTTATTAAGATCAGATACAATTTGAAAAACACTTTAAAGGAATACAAACTGTAATAAATATATTATTATTTTATGTATTTTTTAAACAAAAAAACACTTTATGCCTAATACTTGTACTTTGTAAGATAATTGTAACAATTGTACTCTTATCACATATATAAATACTACTGAAGATCATTATTTATCGGAAATATGCATTATGATGAAACTTCTAAACTATTAAAAATAATTTACACTACTTAAAAACACATTTTAAAAGAGCACTTAAGACACTTTGTACTACCACAAGGACATTATTGACACGTGCCGTTCCATTATTAAAAAAGAAACAATTTATGTGTAATATTCGTAATTTGGAAGAAAATTGTATTGCATCGATCTTGCTACTAAACATAAGAGATATTATGAGTATCGACTTAATGCGACTTTTTTTATGAGAAGATAATATAGAAATTAATTCATATTTAATTTACAAAATGTAGACTGAGAGAAATAACGTTAAGATTTATATAATACTTGAAACTCTGTTTAAGATTTATATGTTGTTACATGTGCGTACTAAATGTGAAGTAATATATCATGTCATACATGATTACGTGTGGTATAAATTAGGATGAGGAAAAGCAAGAAGTTTTATTTTATTAATAACACGAGTGTATGGGTTAGCTAATTTTACTTAAGAATTATGTGTTTTTATCGGAAATCATTTTTGGTACACAACATCTTTCACTGCTGTCAAAATTAAATTGTCTCGCCGCTGACAGGTGTCTTGCAACACGAAGTCAACCAAACGAGAGAATCAATCAGCTTCGCGGAATAGCAATAACAATGGACTTTCTATGCCCTTTTTATATACGGATTTATTTATATACAATATACTAATAATAACAAACATTAATAATAACAAATACGCTTCAAATTTATCTATTAAAATCTATTGAATTATTAACTATTTCATAACTATAATATTACTCGTTAGAACATGACACTAATCAAGATTGTAACACTCAATACAAACTCCTATTATTGTTTTAAATGATAAATTTTCTACACTTTTTATTACGCATTATATTGTCTGTGGAGAATTAGGAGAAACTTAAGTTCAATTAAGTTTAACTATTTTCAAGTGTAGTCCACCTTTGGGCATTAATAGGAATGGTCTAGGATCGTTTATATAGGGTATTGGAGTTTTCTCGCAAGTCTCAATTCTATAGTTGCGTAGCATCTTTATAAGTCCAAGTTTAATCTGATAAACAGCGAAACGATTCCCTTAAAATAAAGAAACAATTATAATGTAAATTAGATTC